TATGTGTATGCATGTACGTAGGCATGTAGGTGTATGCATGTATGTATGCGTGAATATATATATATATATACATATGTACACAAGTGCACTTACTTTACATATTTCAACTAATGAACACATGTTCGTCAATACCGACGGTGCGGACAGGCCGCCTTTGTGGGTGGCAAGTGCTCGAGGGCATTTGGACAATGCCCGCCTCTTGCTCGAGGCCATGGCAAACGCGACTAGCCTGAGTCGGCTTCTACAGCACTTAGCCACTTCTTAAGAATTAGGGCTCTAGGGTTTCAGGGTTCAGGGTTTAGGATAGTGGCTATGTAGGTTCGTACTTGGGAGAGTATAGGATTATTACGTACTTGGGCCTTCAGGGTTCACCCCAGGGATGGGCTGTGGACCTAATCCCCTGAACCCAAAGCCGCAAAGCCCATGTTAACCCTAAATCCCTAAACCGTAATATCATAGATCCTTACTAAACCCCTAAACCACAAAAATCCATCCTAAACCCCGAAACCATACAAGAATAACTCCTAAACCCCCTAAAAAAATCCAGAAATATGCTGAACCCAGAGAGCCCGAGGTCAACAGGGCAGACAGGAAGGGCATGGCACCCCTTTGGATTGCATCTTACTGGGGTCACAGCAGCCTCGTTGAGCTTCTCCTGGAGGCCGGAGATCGGGAGAAAAGAATGCAAAGACACGTGGGCAGAAACCTAAATTAGGGTCCCTTTTGGGGTACTTTTTATAAGGGTGCCGTGCTCTTTGGGACCTAAAACCCTACCCTAAGAACCCAAAACCCACTTTTTGGTAGGTTCTTACTATAAACCCCAATATGGGATTTACAGGGGCCCTACAAAAAAGTAGGTTTTGGGTTCTTAAGGTAAGCCCTAAAACCCCAAAGCCCTAAAACCCTAAACCCTAAACCCCTAAACCCTTAAAGCTGCAAACCCTAAGCCCTAAAACCCTCAAGTCAAATTCCACAAAACAGCCCTAAACCCTCAAAAAACATGACATAGCACAGCATTAGTGGTACCTTAAACCCTAGACCCTAAACCGTGAAGCTTCGAGGTTTCGGCTCAGGGGGTCCCAAAGTGAGAATGAAAGCTAGTCCCAAAGGGTCCTGTGGGGCCTGCATCGTTTAGGGGTTTAGGGGTTGAGGGTGTGTAGGGGTTTAGGGTTTAGGGGTGTAGGGGTTCAGGGTTCAGGGGTTTAGGGTGTAGGGGTTCGGGTTTAGGGGTTTAGGGGTTTGGGGGTTAAGGGTTTGTGGGTTTAGGGGTTTAGGGGTTCGGGTTTAGGGGTTTAGGGTTTAGGGGGTTTAGGGTTTAGGGGTTTAGGGGTTTGGGTTTAGGGGTGTAGGGGTTGGGGGTTTAGGGTTTAGGGGTTTAGGGGTTTGGGGTTAGGGTTTAGGTGCTTAGGGCTTCGGGTTTAGGGGTTTAGGGATATAAATTCTTCATTACCCAGCATAAGGAAGATATCATAAGTCCCACTGTTTAGGCTCCTTAAGGTAATGCAGGATTTATATCATCAACAGTATGCTTTCAGGGTTCTTTCGAGGGATCGATAGGGGTTGTTTTAAGGGATTCTATCGGGGTACTGTTATAGGGAGGGTTCAGGCTTTAGGGTTTAGGGTTTTGGGTGTACTGGTATGGGGGATACTTCCCTAAATAATAATAGTCATTCCTAACATCAAGACCATACAGTCTCTTATGTTGGACACTTTTGGAGTTGAATGACGTTGGGAAGCCTTTAACGTTTCTGGGGTATTATTAATCTCTATATACCAGGACACCCGCCCAAGTGCCCTTTAAAAAAAGCGGGTACTTGGGGTATAACAGAGAGTAGGTGCGGGGTTATATAACCCCAAAGGTCAAGTATCAAAAATATGGCAGAATGCGTTACAGAGGCAGGTGCACGTTGTCACGCCTAAACCCTACACCCCTAAACTTTAAGCCCCTACATCCTGAAATGTAGGCCATGCATGGCGTGGGACTGTGGTAGGCCCTCAGCAACATGAAGCTCCCCCCAAATGTCCTCGAGTCTTACCTCGGTGCTGTTCTCCGTTAGACATAGAAGCCTCAAAACATGAATAGCTACCAATACTATTCCGGAGGGTTCCTTACCATAGCGATACTATGAATGACTGTTAATCTACCCCAAAACCTGGTCTGTTGAGCATAAGCTTCCTGTATTTTTGTTGCTCGGAGGCGAGATGTGAAGTGGACAGCACCGACACGCGTGGTGGATCTTCTCCGCTCTGGGTGTCCTGCAGGAACTGCTGCGAAGGCGTCGTGAAGCTACTGGTGCAAGCCTCTTAGTTCCCCAATACCCAATGTTTTCAACTTTTTGGGGTTCTTATATTGTAGTATAGTAATCTGAAAGTTTGGCCTTTATTTCCCTTAAACCCTAAACCCTAAATCCTAAATCCTAAACTCTAAACCGTGGCTTGTTCGGCGAGTAAGGCCTCTGCAGGACTGAACAAGACCAACATCGACCGGCAGTCTCCAGTGCCTCTGTCGACAATCAGTCGATGCATTCCTGAGTACCTAGGGTTCAGGGTTTAGGGCTTCGGGTTTAGGGTTTAGGGGTTTAGGGGTTTAGGGGTTTAGGGTTTAGGGTTTAGGGATATATCTGGACCCCAAAGAATCTACCGCTTCAAGGATTTATGTAAGGAAGTCATAATCGGACCCCTGAAATTCATCATATTATCGCGCATACCGAAACGAATCTGAGTAGAAGTTCTTGATACAAACCCCACCCCCCCACCCCCCGCCCCCACGCCCACCCACCCAAAAAATCCCAAAGTGGAGGTATGGATTGCTGCAGCCACTGGCCCTAAACCCTAAACCCAAAACCCAAAGTTGAGGTATGGATTGCTGCAGCCACTGGCCCTAAACCCTAAACCCTAAACCCTAAACCCAAAGTTGAGGTATGGATCGCTGCAGCCACTGGCCACCCAGCAATCCTGCGGCTCTTGCTGGGAGCCCGAGCCGACCTTGCCATCCCAGATCGAGTTGGAAGATCTGCCTTGTGGAGCTCGGGTCTTGCAAAGCTTAATATAGGGTTTAGGGTTTAGGGTTTAAGGTTCAGGGTTTAAGGTTTAGGGTTTAAGGTTCAGGTAGGGTTTA